ACAGTTAATCCTGTTTTTGTAAAGTGAAAAAAAAAAACTTGAATGGTCCCTAAGGTGAAAAAGAAATCACGAATCTCTATAATTATTGCACATTACAAGACACCAGTAATTACCTTCCGAAAATGATTTATCTTATGGGTAGAAATGTTTGAGGTACTCTGGAAATAAACATAGACCCAATCTGACCAAAGCGCGAGAAAAATATGAAACTTTATTACACATCGACGTATTAGAAAAGATTATTTGGATACACATTGAGTTTTCTGAACTGTTTTTTTAATATACATAGAAAAAAGTTCTTCAACTCCGCCCTGGTCTTTAGGATGAAAGAGAAATCCCTGAAACCCTACTTCATATGTAAAAGACACCACCTGTCATATCCAAAAAGATTAATTAGCTACCGTTTAAACCATACGTTAATGCAGATTTCCATGACATTTCTTTCAATCATCTTTAGAAGAAAATGAAATGGCTACTGCGTAAAATATGAGAGGAGTTCCGTTAGTCAGGTTTACTTCACATCTGTACTTAATCATAATTATCTTGCTAAATATGACATGACCACTGCACTGTCTAACATAAAATGAGTTTTGGATCCAGATTTTCCGTAAAATGAAAAGCGTCTCTTTTTGAATCCCAGTTGATTCGAGATGTGAAATTAAAAATCTTATTGCATATACAGGCCACCATTTAAAAGTGATTTGGCTACGGCAAAAAAAAAAAAAAATAAATAAATAAGGAATTCTAGAACCAGATTTCTGTTGATAAAAAAGGAACGTCGATTTTCAACACCATTTTATTTCATGACTGAAAATCAGAACGGACCTAAACCATCATTAAGATACAATCAATCATATTGGTTGTTTTATTTTCATATTTTGTTATCCAGGTCTATCTGTCATAATGTCTTTTTTCATCTTCCTGTAATTTTACCGGCAATTTTTTAATAAACATATATTATTTTATGACTATTTATTCGTGGAATAAAAATTTACTTTCAATAAGAGAGATATCTCTTTAGCATAGAGAGATATTTCTTTGGCTAATAGAGATATCTCTTTAAACAAAAGAGATATCTCTTTTTGTAAGAGAGATATCTCTTTTACTGAGAGAGATATCCTTATAAGCTAGTGGGATGTCTCTTTAAGCGAGAGAGATATCTCTTTTAGCGAGAAAGATATTTCTGAATGTTATAGAGATATCTCTTCCACAAGGTTAAAAGACTTAGAGATATCTTTCTTCACGTTCTTAGTTAGAGAGGTTTCTCTTTAGATTAATTTTCAAAAAAAGATATCTTTCTAAGCTTTCTAAGCTAAAGAGATATCTCTTTTAATGAATTAAGAGCTATCTCTTTTCCTGTGATCCTAAAATAAAATATAATTAACTCTCCCCTTTCAAACGAAAGAGAAACTGGAATAATTTCGCTTTTATGAGAAAAAAGCATGTCACAACCAGAATAATATATGTACTATATGTATTTTCCGAATAAATAGCAAAAGGGCTTGCCATAGTACTTGATAAACATAAAACTTTAATATTCAGGAAAACGAAAGTAAGCATAAAATCTCATATGCAACGGACCGAATTTTCTTAGCTTATGAAATAATCAGCTAAATATTACTAATTTGAAATGTAGACATATTAAAATAAAATCTGCACCAGAAACTTTAACTTATTCGTTTATTCATTCCGATTTTCATGTGGATGTAAAATGGGGATCGATGGAATTTTTTATTTAAAATTAGGAACCTGGATCCAAAACTCTTCAATCATTTTTGCATTAGCCGAGTCGATTTTAGTTCACTTCAACGAAATTGGGGGGGGGGGGGGGGTTATGTCCTATATATATATATATATATATATATATATATATATATATATATATATATATATATATATATATATATATATATATATATATATATATATATATATATATATATATATATATATATATATATATATATATATATATATATATATATATATATATATATATATATATATATATATATATATATATATATATATATATATATATATATATATATATATATATATATATATATATATATATATATATATATATATATATATATATATATATATATATATATATATATATATATATATATATATTGATATCATGGGTATCGGTGTAGGTCAGATCCAGCATCTGAAACAACCTTGGTAGTATGCATCCTTAGATGTATGACCATGCAAGGTTGGTCAACATAGGGCTTAAAGTTACTTTAGAATGAACTTGCTCCAAAACATTTAACTTGTTCACTCATCCGGAAAATGTAGGTCAAATCCAGCATCTGAAGCAAACTTGGAAGTATGCTTCTTTAGATGTATCATCCATGCAAGTTTGGTCAACATAGGGCTTAAAGTTACTTGGAAATGACACCTGCACCAAAAACTTTGACATGCACCAAAACTTTAACCTTGTCATTCCATAGCTGAATTTGCAGGATCTGAAATCTTAACTGGTACAATGAAATACATTAGATGCCTCTTGCATGCATATCTGATCAATGTAGAGCATAAAAGTACTGAAAAAGAAAACTGCTTCAAAAACCTTAACCTGGGACACCGACATCTACGGTATCTGAAACAATAAGCTTAGATGTATGACCCAATTTCTTATAGTGGAAATGAGGTTTGCAAAAAAAACTTAAACTTAAAGCACGCTAAACTCTGCAAAACTTTAACCTTGTCATTCCATAGCTAAATTTGCAGGATCTGAAATCTTGACTGGTAATGAGGTATAAACCAAAAACTTTAACTGACGCTGTTCACTCATCCGGAAAATGTAGGTCAGATCCAGCATCTGATATAAACTTGGAAGTATTTATCCCTAGTGGTCAATATAGGGCTTATAGCTACTTAGAAATGAGACCTGCACCAAAAACTTTAACCTTGTCATTCCATAGCTAAATTTATACTTTATTGGGGTTAGGGTTTTGGGAAAAATCTCCTAACTTTAGCATTTCATACCGTATACAACGCGAGGAATACTGAATCAGGAAACTTAGACACTGTTTTTATATTTGGTTGCAACGACCACATAAATAAGGTATGGAATTTTTCAAGCCCACAAAGTGATTGCGATGGGTCTTTCTGGACTGGTGTTAAAATAATGCCATGAAATATTACTTGAGAAAAATTTTTATCATATCTTTAAATAGAAAATGGCATTTTTGAACATTTAGGAATTTAAGGTTTAAGGCATCATCCTAGGCTATATGCTTGATTAAAGTTTTGAACTAAGACTTCTGAAGTAAAAAACAATGATTTTGAATTTTTAACTTTTTATGCCCCCGTAAACGAAGTTTCGGGGGTATAAAGTTTTTGTCGTGTCCGTCCGTCTGTCTGTCTGTCTGTCTGTCTGTCTATCTCTCTGTCTGTTTGTCTGTTTGTTCGAAAAAACTTTAACCTTGCCCTTAACTTTTGATTGAGAGGAGCTATTGTATTCATATTTCACATGTGTATTCCTTGTGACAAGACCTTTCTTTGGGTACCACCAAATTTGACCTTTTGACCTTGGATTTTGGCCCACTTTTACACAAAAAATTTGAACTTTTACTTTGGCCATATCTATTGAACAATAGATAATAGGACATTTAAACTTGACATATATATTCTTTGTGTTAAGGCCTTTCATAGGATACCAACAACTTTGACCTTTGACCTTTACCTTGGACATTTCTGTACGCATGAAAAAACTTTAACCTTGGTTATAAATTTTAAACGGTAAGTGCTAGGGCTTTCATACTTCATATATTTAATCCTTGTGACAAGAGACCTTTCATTTGATATCAAGAACCTTGACCCTTTGACCTTGACCTTGGAGTTTGACCCATTTTTACACAAAAATTCTAAACTTTTCTTTTGGCCCTAATTTTTAAACGGTAGATATTAAGAATTTCATTTGTCAAATATCAGTTCTTTGTGGAAAGACCTTTCATTTGAAACCAACAATATAGACCTTTTGACCATGACCTCGGAGTTTTCCGAACTTACGAAAAAGACTTGGCCATAATTTTTCAAAGGTGAGGCTTAGGGCTTTCATACTTTAAATATGTAATCCTTGTGAGAAGACCTTTTATTGGATATCAACAGTGTTGACCCTGGAGTTTGACCTACTTTTTACAAACTTTAACCCTGGCCATAACTTTTGAACAGTAGGGACTAGAGCTTTCGTATTTCACATATGTAATCCTTGTGACAGGACCTTTAACAAACACACCTTGGATATCAACCAAAAAAAAAAAAGCTTTGGCTTCGTTCTACAATGTGACAGGGAACCTCGAGTAACATCCTGTTTATATAGGTAGATATACACAACCCAGCGTCGTTCCCTCGATCGGCCGCTTCGGTTAAGTTCCCCTTTGACCTTGACCCTGGAGTTTGACCTACTTTTTACAAACTTTAACATTGGCCATAACTTTTGAACGGTATAAACCAGCGCTTTCATACTACCCATATGTAATCTTTTAAGACAAGGCCTGTCTTTAGAAACCAGCAATCTCGACCCTTTGACCTTGACCCCGGAGATTATCCTACCTTTTAAAATGTTTACTTTGGTCATAACCCTTGAACAGGTGGTGCTAGGGTTTTATATTTAACATTTGTATTTCTTGTGAAAAGGCCTTACTTTAGGTACCAACATATTTGATCTGCATTTGAGAAAGGTTAACCATCGCTATGTTGGCATTCGGTGTCATCAGTGTTTCACAAACACATCTTGTTAAAAATTATAATTATATTTGAAAATTATATTTTCTTAGTATCATAAAATACACATTTTTACATGATGAAAAAAAATCCTGTAATGAATAAAAATTCCCTTGGGTATGCTGGAAATCATGTTGCTTGCGTGTTTGGAATTGAATGCATAGGGGTTTAAAAGCTTGTGTATTTTAAATAACCGCAATATATTTCCTTTATACTGTCACAGATCAATGAAGTTACATTCGTGTTGCACTAATTAAATGGCTCGCATGAGAACGCGTTAGTTCGTATTTATGTCCTGCGGATTTGTTAGTACTTATTATTATATTTTTAACTATACCCCACTTCCTCCTCGTCTTAATCTTATAACTTGTCAAAAAAGACTTATTGATTTGACTTTTGAAGATGAAATCGGAAGATTTCCTTTGGAGTGTTTTGTTTTTATGCATTTTGTCATTAATTTTAGCAAAGGATCAATGCAGTTTGACTCTTCAATCAGGTATGTTTTTCATTTCTTATTTTTTCACCAGCGTTATTTGACCTTCTGTTTAATAGTACTATATTGGTTCAGAATATGTTTTCAGGTGGAAAAATTGCAAAGCAGATTACAATGAATAAATAAGGTACTTAAGAAATGTATCCTCAATTTACACATTTTTATTTAAATGTCAAAAAGATTCAATGGCTAAGATGAGCAGATAAAACTTCATGTACTTATTTTTCACACCATTAATTTTTTGGGGGACCAAATCTCTAACAAATTAATGTGATATCATGTGTAACTATTTCTCCTACGTGAACAAGTAAATAAATATATACATGTACCTTTATATTCTAACTCATTTGCTACAAGAAAATTAACGGTGAATGGACAAAGGTTTAAATATTTTGGCCTTATCCCGTAGCCTTAAAAGTTCAACGAACCGACTCAATAATAAAGTAACGACTTATATTAAAAACATTTTTTTAAGTGCATATTTGCCGAAAAATTATCTTCATCCCCACTTGCTGTGAATTTCAAACGAATGATCTCGTAATACATGTATGTATTTAATAATTACACCAATACTCAAAATATCTAACGTAGCCTTGAAGTTTTTCACATAGTCTGCAGTTCCCCAAATGCAATGAAACGCATTATATATAAACAATGAGATCTAAAGGATCTGACCGATTTTACACAACGAATACTTTGTTTGGATTGCTACTAGCTAACAATAATACAACTCCAAATAGCGCACAGAAAAAAAATCCTCCCTCTTTCAGAGCATGTCCACATTTTTTAACAGTTACCAAGTCCTTTCTTATAGAAAAGAGATTACTACGTGCTACGCGATAAGACAACAAAAGTTGCAATATTTGATCTTTTCCATTTGCATTGTGCAATTGTCAGTTTGCAAGCATTGTACACATGCTTTAATTAATGTTTGCATTGTATATTATATAACCTAGAGCATCTGCTTAAGAGTCAGAGTTTATCGTTACATCGCGGGTTCGAATCCCAATCTGGGACTTGGAGATCGGTCCTTCGGATGAGACCGTATACACCGAGGTCCCATGTCGCAGTAGGTGTTGACATGAAAAGGATCCCTCACTGCTCAATGCCTCCGAGTGCCCAGTATAGGACAAAATTTGTAGCTCTCACCGGCAAGTGGTGGCGTCTTCAGATGAGTGATAAATTAATTCTCGAGAGGAACGTAAAACGACATACAATCAATCTAAAGAAACTTCGTATATTTTTTATTATCATGGTCTGTTCGTCCGTCGCACAGACTCTCACGCAGTAACCACCTCATTTTTATCAGTATGGTTGGTGGTGTCCTCTAGAATTGCAATAAGTTTCATACATTTCATTCATATAGCTAAATTGGCATTTACTGGGTGTTGAAATAAAATATTAACATATATAAGTTCTGCAATAAGTTATTCAAAGTTTACTACATATTCTACTACGATAATTGCCGAGATCAAAGAAATGCCGCGGACATTATTCTCCAATAAATCACGAACGTAATCAAAAAATTATCAGATCAAAAACAAATATCAAACCTGTGCAATTGAAATGTACTTTTGACTTAAGAATGAAATACATATCTGTTGTTTGAAATATAAAAACCTCGGCTAACGCCTCGGCTTTTATCTTTCAAACAACATTTCGAGACCTCGGAGGTTATTCTGCAACATACGTTTGAGTGATTGATTGTTTAACTGTTTAACGTCCCTCTCCAGAATATTTCACTGATATGAAGACGTCACCATTGCCGGTGAAGGGCTGCAAATTTAGGCCTATGCTCAGCACTTACGGCCTTTAAGCAGGGAGCGATTTTTATCGTGCCACACCTGCTGTGACACGGGGCCTCGGTTAACTGTGGTTTTATCAATATTCGTTGAGCACCAATTTTCATGGATTTCGTTGTTGAGCAGATCCACGAATTCAAATGTTCATTGTATTACGAAATATGACATTCCTTTGTATAGGCAATGCTTTTGCCCACGAAATTACGTATCCTCGAAACTGTCTGTTCTACAAAATCCACGAAAATTGATGAAACCACAGTATACGGTCTCATCCGCCCCATTTAGACCGCCCCATTTAGTCGCCTTTTACGACAAGCAAGGGGGCACTGAGGACCTATTCTAACCCGGATCCCCATACAACATACGAAAACGCGGACTTTATTTCTTAAATAATACAGTTCCAAGAATTACTCTTGCACGCATAACACCTGCATAAGCCAAATAACCCTTGTCAACGAACTTGCAATTATCCAATTATAATCATGCAATAAAGTTTATGAATTGCCTTTTCATGTAACAGGCCACCGGAAGGTCGAAAAAAAAATGTTTATTCCCTACAAAGTATAAATTATTGTAATTTCTTTGCTAGTTGTACAGATACTAGTACGTGTATAAGGCTTGTACATTTACTTTGGGGTACTAATGTTTACGACAGTATCTAGTTGTTATTAATTTATGTTTTATAAGTGTATATTTGTATTTATTTATATTGTATACCATATTCAGTTGTATTGTTTAATACACTATTTGTTTTCTTAAATGTTACAATTCGTATTGATTGTACATGTATAAGTATTATTGCAATTTCTACCTAAATTATGTTAGAACTTTCAATTTAATTTCGTACGAATTTTGGAATTTGGAACGAATTTTTATTTAATGGAAACGAATTTTATGTTGTTGGAACGAATTTTATCTCATTTAATCGAATTAAAACAAAAAAATATCTCAAGCACATGTCATTAAGAAGCCATCATATACAACATATCGGATGTTTAATTATGTTTTCTAAAAGAATGTATATTATTAAGAGTGTAAATGTATGTGCTTATTAAAATATAAGTAATCCGTGCAAGTCATGTACATGTATATTGTACAATTTCAGATCATGATATTTAAATGTCATATTGGCATACGAGTACATGTTTGTTGCTTTAAACATGTAAATCCTAAGGAGTTTTTCATATTCCATTCTTGGTGCCAGTATTCATCATTCACAAGCTAATTTTCTTGCAAACCATTTGTTACAATTCCCACTGAATACTTCATTACATCTACGGAAACTACCCTTGGATTATTGGAGTACAGTTTAGTGTGTGATGTTGCACTCAGTATCTTTATTCATGATTTGATAAAATACTTCAAGAAACCTGAACACACTGGAGATATATTTCTCCTTAAAATACTTTCAAGACTTATAGCTTATTTTGCAATGCATGCATACCCATATCCCACATTGGTTTTGTGATTATATCTGCTTTTACAAACAACATGATATACAAATAAAATTACACAGGAATCTAAAGTACCTAAAATAAAATGCCTACTTTAGTTTAAAAATATTCTTTTTTGCAGATCCTCTGTATATTTTCTTTGGAGAGAAGATTAATTTCTCTTGCACGCTTAATAGTTCAAGAGCACATCTCAATTCTTCAGAAAATATTATCATTATCAAAAGGTGGGATGGTCAACGTTTGACCATTTTAAACAATAAACACAATAATAGCACACTAACTGCACAAGGCACTGCTGAAGATGTTGTGTATGTTAGTATGATTCCTGAAGATAGAGGAATTTTGCCGTATGTTTGTACCTCTCCACTCTGTGAAGGAAAGAAAAGCAATCAGTACATTTCCATAGAGCGTAAGGCAATTGTGTGTGTTTTAACTTTCAGCATGTTGCATGTCATTTTAACACTTTGTATTAGGCATAATGATACAATACTGAGTTAAAGAGCTTTAACAGTTCATTCTAAAGCGTTAGAGCATAAAAAACAGAAGAGTGTGGTTTGTAGTAATTTCCAGTCTATGTCGAGTTAATGCTTTGTAGATTATTAGTTTATTTGTTAGTGTGTTTTATTGCAGATAAAAGTGTGCTTTTATGGTTATTCTTAAAGTTGTGTAAGTTAAGGGGGGTATATATTTCTCTGTTAAATTTACAGTAGTTTATCGGCAAATGTTCGTAACTTGTCCATCCCTATCGGTTTCCTTATTCAAATACCCATTCTGTTGGAAGCGAAAACCTTAGCAGGCTTTTGATATTTTCCAACATTTTTTCCTTTAACGTGTAGTTCCAAATCTTGTTTGAGGGAAATGCAAAATATATAATTTTCACAATAATGGAAATAAAGAGAAATAGGGTTCGTTTTAACCATCATTCAGATACATAGACTATGCCACTATTTTTGTGACAATTTTTGCATTTTTAACATATTATATCCTTGGTATTAAAAATCTTTAGTCCCAATTTAACATTTTTTTTTTCGTGCAACAAGGTTTCTATTGGCTAGACGTGTCGTGAAAATGAAAGAAATGAAAAGATTTGAAGCAATGTTTTTTTTTTTTTTAATATTGGTTTAAGATTTCAGATACCTATGTTTTATTTCCTAATTTTCTATTAAAGTGTTTGCATATGTTGTAAACTAAAATTATTTGATATCTACTTTGAATTTCTTAAAAGGCCATTTTGAAATTTTTTAAAAAATATTATCATGCAAGTTTTCTAAGTATTATGTGGCAGTGAATTCAAAATTTAGAAAAATGACAATTTATTTTGTGTTCACAACAACCCGATAAAGTTAAAAATTTACAACATGACAATACGCTCCACCACGAGAGATAAATGTTATTTATCAGCGTAATTTTTTAAAATGTTCATTTTAAAGTGTGCACTGTTTAATTCAAATTTGATTTAAAATTAATAAAATTATATAGTTACAATAATGTTGAGAAAAAAAAGACTGTCAAATGCACTATTTGACATAAAACATTGGACAGAGAATGTTAAATTGCACAAATTGTTATCATTCAAAGCAAAAACGTATACATTTGTACATGTACATCTATATGGAGATTGCATTGTTTATAGTTTAGATCATATACCAGTATAACTAATTCATAATAAGAGGCAAATTGGCGGTTTCGTGTTTCAGCTTTTGCTTCTTTACTAAGACCCGGATGTTTTTAACAAATGGTCGATGGAGATCATTTTGTTCGTTTGTACCCTGTTAACGTCAACAATTTATGTCTGTCTGAAAAAAAGCATATATATTGAAATTTCTTACTTTACACATACTTGTGAAAGCATTGTTAACACTGAGGTATCTAAACAAAATGAAGTCAATTTAAGTCAATTATATGACTATATTAAAGTAAATTTGTTTAAAAATGTACGTATGTTTGTATTTCTTTTTCATTTTTAAAATACATCTGTTTGGTGATTTGTTTTAATATAATGTTGTTCCAGTCGTTAGTTAATCTTCATAGGCCATAAGATGTGTTTATTCGTTGTTTGTTTAATTGATTTTTTTCTTCAATAAATCAGAAAATTAATAAAATATATGATTATTAATAATGATTAAAAACCAAAGAGAAAAAATTTAAATTTGTTTATTGCTATAAGATAGGAGACAATGCGTGTATTTCTTATTCATTATTCTTTAAGATAAAATATACGATAAAAAAACACAAAAACTTTTTAAAAATATTTCAAGCACAGGAAGACAAGTTTTTTTAAGGTTACAAGATGATTATACCAATTGTTTACCTGATTGGCCAACTAGACAACCAAAAGAGTATAGTTATGTTAAGAAGGATATAAACATTTCAACGTATATTTATTTATTTACAATATTAAATGTCAGTTTATATCATCACCATACATTTATTTTACCATATTAAATTTATGTTCTTCAAGGTTAAAAAAAGAGATGATTATCAACTTGAAGAATTCAAGAAAACATATTATTTTCAATAAATATAAAGTAATTATTCTAATTTACAAGTAAAATATAAATTCGATCGTCATTGTCATTTTCAAGCGTTTTTTTTAAATAGTCTGATTATTGAACTAGATATAAATTTGTCATTGTCATTGTCAACTGTTTAAGTCTTTTTTTCAAAATAAGTCTGATTATTGAACTTGAATTGTCAAGATTAAGGAATTGATGATGACAATCAAGATGGATATATCGCTCTCTCATTTAGTTACAATTTCAACTTTTTAAAAAACAATATTATGAACAGAAATCACACCACTTACAATAAGCAATTAATGAAAATATGTAATTGACAGGAAAAGGGAACTAAATAACATTTGTTTTTTTTTAAATTTGATATTTGATAAATTTGATTTCATTTTTGATATTTTTTTCTAACATGAACAGATCGCCCACAGAAGATAGTAAATGGTTCGTGTCTGGTCTTCAACTGGCAGAACATGACTTGTGTTTGGGATCTGGAAGTGGTCTACAAACATCCTCATACCTCGGACATGAGCATTACAGCCCAATACAATACCACAGTGGAAGATTTCACTCATCTGGACTACGACGTATCTTTGCATTGGAGCGTGTAAGTTTTCTCCGCTTGTTTTATATATTTTTTAGCAGATGTAGTTAAAGTCTATCTTAAATTCTACATGTACAAGGATCAAGAATAATTGATATTTATCTTTTTTATAGCAAATATGAATAATATGTTATATATTAGTGAGATGGTATATGATGGTTTCAGTAGTCGAAATTGCAGAACTTGAGAGTACATTGTATTTTCTAAGAAAGAGTGAACACACGTATGATAATTAAATTGATACTCTCCTCTACAATCAAGAAACCTAAACAATTTTCTTTTATTTTTAAACTACAGTAGATTACTTTTGAAAGACATAACTGTAATTTTTCAAAGGATATATTTTTTTCATAGTGAATTTTTGACATTTGATCTTTATGCATTTGGCATCGATTCAAAGGTTAATGGACCACCACTAATCGACCTCTTGGGGCGTGTCAGATAAATATAAATCAGTAGCCTTTGGACACGGCTTTATATTTACATCCACTGAATATTTTCTTTATTTCTTAAGAAAACCCATTGCGTTCATCACTGCATGAACTACATTATGCATATCTCCTGTACAGATATCTTGTTCAGTGGCCGTTCCATCAATGAAACGTCGCATCATTAACACAATAATTAATATTTTTAATCCTACTTAAAATGGTAATTTAAACAGATATATAAACAATAAAAGGTTAATGGACCACCACAATTGCAGAAAAAATTTACATAACCCGCTTACGCGGGTTATGATTAAATATAACAGCTGCTTCCGTTCATTCCAGTAATAACAAACAAAGAAAGCATTTTATTGTTTAAGTAATGTTTGTAGAATACAATGTATGATTCATATTTTACTACATTTCTTTCCTTCTTTCTTTCTTTATACATCGATCTGATGTTTATACTCATTAAGTTTAAACTTTAAGTATTTGATTCTAGGTACACACACTTGTCTCCTTGCAAAAATATAAAAATTAAAGGAAAGTGCTTGTCTTGCACTATTATGGAAAATGATGGCAGAGACAGCTATAAGCGGGGGACATACGTGTTCGTTGTCAACATTACCAACAACAGACGTCCGGAAACTAGCGTTTCATCTCATTTCTACTTCAATACAGACGAATTAGGTATAACCAAGCGTGTTATGCTATTATGCTTTTGTAAACTTAAACGTCGATAATCATTTCAAAGTGAAAAGATATAACAATTTCATAAGAAACGAGGAAAAATAAAAATGAAAAGGGATCCATCTGGCCACTCTTTGGTGTTTGACGTTGTATTGTATTTCTTTAACAAAAATTTATGATAAATTGTCATGAGAGTTTTGTCAGGTAAACAAATGTAATTATTTAATTTTTGTAGTACAACCAGCAAAAGTTGAAAACATAAAGACAGAGGTCAATAAAACAGAGATGTTGATCTCATGGGTTCACTCCAAACCATACATGTCTTTCCAATTTAAGATTGAATACAAATCCGAATGGGAAAGCAGTTGGAAGGTATGTTGTCAACGGCAAAGATGGGTCTGTAAAATTACTACCATGCACTATGTAAATTTTTTCTGAAGGAACAAACTACTTACTTTTTAGTAAAAAATTATAGTAATAAAAGAGTGCTGGGATCAAAATGCAAATCCCCTGTCATTTTCATCTAGGAGTTATTTATCACCTTCCATTAACTTGGTTTTTGGTAAAATTACCTTGTTGTCACATATTTTAAAAATCAGAGAAATATATTTGAACCGATTTTCAGGAGGAAATCTACACCAGAGAAATCGACGACATGATCGATTTGGTAATTTGTTGGTACTAAACTTTGGGTAGATGTGCTTAGTTAATTTTTAATTTGTAGGTGCTGGTTAACAAAAATATTAAGGTTAAAGCTAAATACAGGCAATGATAACGTTGACATTAACAACAACATCGTCTTCAAAGGTTTTGAGTGAAGCTTTACATGTTGTGTTATAATACAAGCTGATTTACATGTACTGTCTTTCTTAGCGATTAAAATGGCAGTTTCTTTCTTTTCTTGTTTTAAAACTTATCTGTTCCATTTCAACTTGCTTCGTTTTCTGTTTGCTTTTCATTTGACTGATTTTAGAGAAAGTGAAGGAAGGCAACGGTGTTCGCATGTTATAATAATAAACATGGAATAAATAAATATCAAAGAATCTTTACTTATTTGCACGTATGAATATAATTAGACAGAGATATCGAGGAGGATGAGCAGACAGCTGACCAATCTTATCCCATACACGACATACGAGATACGGATATCTTGTATACCAATAGTACAGGGGGAAGTCAAGGGGTTCTGGTCTGAAGTTACCACGACTAAGGCAAAGACACTTGAAGATGGTATAAAAATTATTTTTAGGATATAAGAATTATTACTAAGTTTAAAAATAATCATTTGCTTTAACTGATGCAAAATTGAATAAATTAGATTTTTAAACTAACGGATTACATTTCGAAATTTAATGATATTGAAATTTATTGAAATAAGAACATTCAGATAAAAATTAAAAGAAAAAAAAACGAACTTTCGGGAAATACATTTAGGTCTTAAGTTAATGTACATATTTATTTCAAGTAACAATAGCAGAAAGTTAAACATTACTATTTCTATTTTTTATAAAAAGAATTTTCAAAAAAAATGATAGTCTTATCAACAGTCTAGAAACAATAATTTTATATTGAAATATATCTTTTATCATGTTTATCCCCTAACATTTTTTAAGACGATAGAATCCTCTTTCTCTACTTACTTACATTCTCCTCCTTACGTAAATATATCACTGCCTTAGTTTCTATGGTATTACAGATATAATTCAAAGACGAACAAGTGTTTGAACTGTACTTAATATATCACTGCCTTATTGCGTTTCTATGAACTACATTATTACAGATTTCTTGTTCAGTGGCTGATATAATAATACAATAATTAATCTTTTTAATCCTACTTTAAATGAACAGATATAAATATAAACAAGTGTTTGAACTGTTTGCAGAAAAAATTTTTACCCGCTACACTTATTTTTTCGTTAATAACAGCTGCTTCCGTTAATTCCAGTAATAACAAACAAAGAAAGCATTTTATTGTTTAACATTAATACACGTATCTTTACCGTTTTATCTTTACTTACACTTATTTCCAGTCCCATCAGCAGTTCCTCAGGTCCAGCCATCATTTTTCAGTTGCTTGAATATACTATGCGACGAAGTCGAAATTTACTGGAAGGTCAGTTTATGCGTAACTTTTTCTAAAATATATATTTTTGTTGATGACAAAATCCAGGTAAATATTTTTAATGTTAGAAAATAAAGATATACGTATCGTTTAACAATCTGAAATTTGCTTTTAAAGTGGTGTTTTTTTTAATATAGCCTATCGAGCAGAAGGATAGAAGATGTTCCATGATGCAATACAAGATTGAATCAATATATCCAAAGTCCCCTCATAACAAACCAGTTTACGCAAATCAAGATTCAGTTTCAGCTAAGATGCTTATTGATACAAATGTTACAAATAATATTAGCATCATACCTTTTAATGGAAAAACCAACCAATCTCCAGATCTGGAACCGGCTATTTTAGTTATTCCACCAAAATCACAATGTAAGTGTGCATGAAAGCAATAAAAACAAAAAAAAAAAAAAAAAAAACAAACAAACAAGTAAACTAAATAACATGTATGTGTGAATAAAATTTCCGAAGGGTTTCTCGTTTAAAATATTGCTGAGAATTAAACAAAAAGATGTAATAGAAAGTTCTGCATTTTACAGGGCCAAATTCTCCAGATCATCTTGAAGCACTGAGTGATAGTATAACATCGAGGCACCTCACTTTGAGTTGGAGTTTTCCAGCTCAGTTCAGAATCATTCCTTTCAATGGAGATTTCACTATTGTTTGGTGCAAAAAGAATAAGGAAGGAAAATGCCAGGTAACCGAGAAACTAAAGGATTGACCAGTTCATACTTTTTTCATCACATACCCTCTATGCTATTGTATGTAATACATCATTTTGGTTATACATAGATTTTTTTCTCTGGATGTTGCTTTCTCTTTCAAATTACGAAGTTGTTTACAAAAACCGAAAAGGAAACGACTTTTGGTCTGATTTTGAATATGTAAGTTTTGTTCAATTCGAAATTTTAATTTAGGGAGAATTTCATTGGTCAACCACAGTTTCGAACACGTCCCAATTAGAGGTACCTGAAGGGACTACGGTTGATGATTATATGTATGGAATAGCTGCTGATGGATATTATAGAGGCGTGAGAAGCAGTAGTAATATATCCTGGGTCGACTGCGTTCACTTCACTGATAAGAGTTAGTATAACTAATAAACAAAATAATGAACACAAAAAAATCATGAGGTTTTCTTTTTGTAATCTTCATTTAAATAGACTGAAAAACAGAATTCTTACGTCTTTGAATTCAGAGATGATATACTTCAAATATTAACAAAAATATTTTTCTGCTCTAGCTATATCAGAAAAGCTGAATGTGAAGTTTGTGTTAGATGATATTGATCATAACCAAAAGAAGATTAGCTGGGATCCATACAACTGTAAACAGTTCAGAGGTCACGTGACACAGTATAGAATAAAGTATTGTGAATTAAGGAGTTGTGAAGGTATAATATAATTTTCAAAAAAAAAAACATTGCAGAGTTTATTGTGAAATTTTCTTTGCGCATTTTAGTTGATTGGATTACAATCATAGGAATTTTTCTTGAATTATTTTCCAGAAACTTCAACATTTGTGAACGTTAGCAGATATTTACGTAACTATACATTAAGGGATCTATCTCCCACTAAATACAGTGTTTGGGTGTCCGCTGTTTCCGATGCAGGACCTGGGCCTAGCAGTGAAATGGAGTTTCTAGTCTATGGACAGCCAGCCTGTATGTTGTGGTTTTGACAAGGAACTAAAATTTATCAAAATTCTAAAAATTAAAATCTAGCTGCCGAATTTTGATGAATGTCGGTTATAAAAAATATATAATTGATTTTAAGTGTATTTTATAAATGTATAATTTTCAGATTCCAGTAACAATGATACCATAAAGATTGCCAAAATAATTGGAATATTAATCGGCATGTTAGCAGTCACCTTGCTTGTGCTTTTGGCATACTACTTTTGGTCAGTATGTTGTAATATGAAAGCTTAAACTCACTAAATACAAAATGACGGCATATAAAAGCTTGAACTTTCTAGTTCGGTATTGATGAATTAAAAACTCCAATGATTTATTTCTCTTTTTGCAGGAGACATTGCAGGAATATAGAGGAAACGGAAATTATATTACCTAATATTAAAAAAGTATGTACATACAATTTTTAATTCACTTAACATTTTATTATATTGTAGATCACCATTTTTTCGTGAAATAGTTATTTAGATTCACTAGACTCTTTTTGATAATACAAACATATTTTTCGAGGTTGTATTTTCCTACAAATATATTGGTATATGAACATGTTTACTTCAAGAGCTATTCATAAAAGCCTTATATACCAGTACGAGGGGCATTCAATAAATAATGTCATTGGGGCTCAGAAAGAAGCAAACGACGCTTTTCAATGATTTAGTGTTCATGATTTTACTTATTAATCTATTTTAATTCAAACACATGTCCGTAACATTTTTTATCCAATTTCTCATTGTTTTTAGAACTCGTTTTTGGGTATGACCCTTAGTATACTGGAAAATGGCAGATCCAATTATTTCCTGGACTTGTTTTTTCCTTCTGAAAGGTGTTTTATTCAAGTTTATAGAAACAATCAAAAGGTCAAAACATGTTTAACTTTCTGTTTATTAAACCCCTTTAAGGGCATGCGGGTTTAAACGCTGTCATAAAATTCACTGTAGTGGTATAGGTCCTTTCTCTGATAAACCTTTGATTTCTTTGCAAAAAAACTGCTTTTAGACACCTCCAGATATTAAACTGTCTCTCCGAATACGAATTTGAACAATAATACCACTAATATTTAAGAAAATTGCATATAAATCTGTTTTTGTGCTCTTGCATACCTTTGCTCTTGACAGACCTTCGCCGTTTTTATCAAGTACATCTTATGGTAAATTTTGTGTTAATGGTTTTAAGCAATAGATTCATGTTCCACTATCTGTTTGAATATAAAACAAACGTGGATTACTACACTGATATTTTAAAATAATTTATTTTTCAAAATACAGGGTGACCTTAGAGTACCAAGCTTAATTACTGTCAAACGTTTCTTTAAAACATTGAGAACTACTCCCGAAAGTATGTTTATCAAATTTGCTATGTGAAGTATAGTCAATCATACAACATCAAATATTATTTGTTGAAATTTGGCAAACAGTACATAAGTTGTTTTAATTTTTGTTGGCAAGGAGGGTACCCATTTTTGATGCCCATTATATAATTTTTTATCTTTGAAATCCACCTGCTAATTTGTCTATAAAACAGGCATCGGTTGCTGTAAATGTCACATATTTCAGTGAATATTTCTTTGGGATTTTTAACAAGTTTTACAGCAGCTTTAATGTAGCTTTTATTTTCACTCTAGATTACTGATTCTTTATCATTCATTTATAATGCAGTGTCTCGAATAGCCCTTGTTTCCCAGCTTCTCACGATAAAACTATGTGATGAAAAGTGGTCACATAAACTGTTATAAATTCATTAAAGATTCAATAATGAGAGAAAGTCAAGCTTTATGACATATGTCTACTATGTTGTATGTCATCGAGCTAATGACATTATTTATTGAACGCCCCTCGTATATCGTAGTATGTTATTTGAAAAAAGATGCCACAAGGGAGATACGAAAAACGAAAACCTCAAGAAACGCCAATAATATAAATCTAAATTACACTTACGATAAGTTATGTGGTGACAATTTATACATTTAACAGAAAATAAAATTATATCTTATTCTGAGTTCCATAGAAGTTTGCCAGATCGAGATGAATTTACTGAAAAGGAATTGAAAGTTTAAAAGTTTATATGGTAATATGAAATATCCAAGATCAATCCGAATAAGTCAGGTTTCCGTTTTCCTCGTATACTTAATTACTTTGAAATTGTTACCCAATGCTTTTTATCTAATCATTTTTTTTTCTCGTTCTTTTATTGATGTTCTAAAAATGATTTTTTTTTAATAAATTACATTTTGTAAAATTTCAGAATGAGGAATATGACAAGACCAAAAGCTCTGCGTCAACAAGCGGAAGAGGAAGTTCTACCGAGTCTAGTCTTCCCGTCAGGCGTTTGAGTAGTGTTAGTTCCGGTGGAACCTCTGATTCTGGATGCGGACAAGCGGGAAATTTTAACGATGAGAAAACTTACAAGACCGAGTATATGCCGCTACAGATTCAGAGTTCATGTCTTCCTGATTCTGTCCGGGACAAGTACTATTATCCAGCAGAATTTCAGAATGTTGAAAGAACTGGTGGAGATACATTGTACCCAAGTCAAGCAAGTAAAAGTTTATCTGAGAGAAGTCGATTACTTGGTCTAAAGGAAGATCCTATTTCTGAGGAAAGTGCTTACATTTCAGACTTGAGCTCTAAAAATAAGACTTCACATTCTTTGGTGTCTTCCGAAGAACTTAAGCGCTTAGTGACGGTAGCAGACGATAAAGCACACGAATCAGACGACAGTTCTGGTGATAAATTACAATATAGTACAGAAGACATTAGTTGTGTACTGGACAATAGTGAAAGTGACTACATTTTAGATACGGGTACTAGCAGTTATCAGGGATCTCTGCCTGAATATCTCCCGCCACATTCCAGTACAAATAATACAAATAGGAAGAGTCCACCTCCTATTACTTCAAGTACATTTGATGAAATTGAAGGATATGTCTTACATGAATCAGTTTCTTCAACATGATAGCTGAATGAATGTTAAACTTAGATAAAATATTATAGTAAAATTGTTCATAAATTACCTTATACTTGCAGTTGGTTGACCTTAACATGTTTATGATTTTTTTCGATTAAGATATCTGAAATTTGATGCATAATTCAAATTTTGAAAATGTGCAATCATATTGATTGTGGCATTAAAATTATAGAAATAAAATACAGACAGGTTTCACTGTATAATTATTTTAGCTCTTGCTAAAATGGTTAAAATATAAAGGAGTATTAAATATTGATTTAAAAAAGGATCCTTTTTGTTACTAGTTGACTTTTTAAAAAATCTAAATGTACCAAAAAAAAAAAACAAATTTGTCGAATATTGCCACCAACGTTTAAAAAATCCTGTGCAGTTGCTTCAAATGAAAACTAAGATCATGAGCAATATGAGCGTGTCAATTTTTGTAAAAAAAAATCCTGGGAACCATTTTTAGAACCATCTTGGGTAATAAATAGTTGATGATGAATAATGAATGCATGGATATGAATTCTGAATTTCTGATAGTCGATATTTAATAATAAATCAATTTAAAAAACAGCTTGGGTTCGGTAGGTTATTTTATAAATTTTGACTAAATCTATTGAAGAATCAATTTAAATAATGTTTAACTTAGTCATTAATCTAAAAATAATATGAGTACAGCTAGGCCATAAAACCATATAAAAAAGAACATAACTTATAAAACAAATAATAGATTTAATGCAAATGATCGCTTAACAAAGACGAAAACTGTACTATGCGGATCAATTTGCTTCGAAATTTAATTGTTTTATGGCCATTTGATTATTTCATATTATTATATTACTCAGAAATGTTATGAAAATGAGATTTAACACGAGTATTGTTAAATTACATATCTCCTTTCATTAATATATAACACCACTTGAAGATGATTTGTTGGGGGTTTTTTTGGCATGCGTGGCTTAGAGAAAAAAGTTTGGGCTTGATGTTCCTTTCTCTTGGATAATGAGGTTTATCCTATAAAATTTCATTTGATCAATAGGAATCTACTTCGTTTAATTAAGAAAGTTATCCTTTTAAAGATATATATGCGATAGTTCGAATTAAAATGCGGTTTTATTTTTAAATTTTTTCTTTATTTGAAATAATTTAACAAGTAAAATGTTTACCATGTAGTGTAGATTTATGTAACATTTTACTTTTCAAATAAATTGGACCCCGATTATTATCAGCCTATTCAAGTCTGTTCATAAGTTTCTGAGTTGAAAAAAAAACGAACAAATGAACATGACAGCATTTATACTGAATCACTTAAAACCCAAAGATCAGCACCCGACTAACTATCTAGAGGTTCTCGGATAAAACACACCCGTGGTAAATACATTTTGAATACTATAATTAATCTTTTGTTTTTCATAATTAAAATTGAAACAGTATATCTTAAATTACGTGTTTTACTCGTTTATCATCTACGCTGCAATAGCAATTTAAACACAACAAAGAAATATATGGAGATGCAAAACAGTTCAAGCTCCAAAGTCAGTTAAACAATACAAAATAGGAGCGGACATCCAATTAAAACATAAGATCTATGTGGGATCAGGTAAAATAGAGGAGTGAGCATCCCCTGCTGACACCGGTCACACTGGTTGTGTGCTCCTTGTCATGATCGGGAAATAACGGGAAAATCCGTCGACAGTTCAGTGTGTATAAATTAATGTCCCAACAATTAGTATGAAAAACACAAGTCGGCATTTGGCCATGTTAACCTGTATTGACCATATAGAACTTACGAAATGATGACTTTAAACGAGACTGCTGATATTCTTGTTTTTGAAGCGATTTGTTTTTCAATAACTTACCTCTTTTAAAAAGTTAGAAATATGTAGAGCATGATCTTGCTTATCGAATGAGAGATAGCTAAAAAAAAAATCCCCGTATGTAGGTGATGGAGGTACGAATATTGCTGCATTAGTAATGGAAGTTGACGATTGAAAAGTTATCTCGTTTGTCATTAATTAAGCTTGGTTGTTAGATCACCATTAACGTATTTCTAAATATGAAACAGATGTGTCAGACTCTGTGGTATCTTTTATTTCAAGCTTACAAGGATAAACCATAATTCCAGCATTGATGTAGTCAATGTTTATTTGAGTCCAAACCTAACTCAGTTTTGTTGCAAGTGAGTGAATCTCCCAGAGTCGCACTTAGATTTGCTTTGGTATTACTTAATTCTTCAAAAATCATTTTCATTTTAACTGCCTGAGTTTGGTAAATGATAAGAATTGTTGTGTTTCCTAGCTGTTCTACATTTTGTTCGTTTGTCGTTAAACACTCTCGAGTTTTTCACTTAAATGGTGACGTCACCACTTGCAGTAGAAAGCTGCAAATTTTGATCCATTGTCATGTTATAAATTTTGGATTTAGGAAAGGAAAACAGTTGTTTTGGCCTTCAACCCCATATTAAGATACTAGTAAATCGAAAATGCATTATTTTTAACAACTGTTATTTCCAATCATATATTTACAAAATACCGGTATATTTCAAAGAGTATGACACATCTGTTTCATATTTTTAGTATTTTATCAGAAGAAAAATTCATGGTAACCTTATACTAAGTATACAACAAAGCCTTTTGACAAACGTGAAGACCTCAACTTTTCAAACGTAGATTAACGTCAACTTCCCTTACTATGCTCTTATCCCTTCCATCCGTGGTTTATATCTCTCAGTCGATTCGATGCGCAAGAACATTCTCTGCGTGTAAAGAGTTTCTAAAACGAGGTAAGTTATTGACAAACAAGTTGATGAAACAAGAAGGTTGACAGTCCCGTTTAAAGTGATTATTTCATAAGTTTGATGTCGATACAATAACCTTGTAAGAAAATAAGTCTATCGTTGAGTCAAATGCTGACTGGCGTTTCTCATAATATACTCTTCAAAAAAAAGAAACGCATAGTAGGAACAGTGCCCTGAAAAATGTATGATAGTTTTGCCATACCTTTTATTTTTATATGGATATGATATATTCGAGTGAAATGCGTGATTTTTAATGCAATTGTTACTTTACAGCTATTCCACAAGTCTCACAGACAAAATTTTGATCTCAGTTTTTATTTGTTGAATTTTGATGCAATTCCTTCAGGTACAAAGGGGCTATCAAAAGCGGGGGTTCTCGATATTTTAATCTGGTTTTATTTGAAATTTGACGCTTCCTAAAAATGCTGCATCTGAATGTTGCATAGCACAAAAAGGAAAATGGGCGACTGAAAGCAGGGGAACCTCAATCTACAATTGCAAGAGGTTTTAATGTTACGCACAGCGCCATATCTAACCTATAAAACATAAACCATTAACATCGATCACCCAGTGTTTGCAAAAAATATGGTAGACTACGTGTGTTACAACGCACTTTGAAAAATTACGCACTTTGAAAAATTTTTTCAAAGTGCGTTAAGTTTTGGGACCAGGTTAACGCACTTTGAAAAATTTTTTCAAAGTGCGTTGAATTTGGGACCAAATCAACGCACTTTGAAAAAATTTTTCAAAGTGCGTTAAAACTGTACATCATAATTTTACACCATATACACATTTAACGCACTTTGAAAAAAAATTTCATGAAACAAAAGAAATTAGACTTATATTTTTGAAATAGACAACAGTATTATCCCCTCGCAACGTATGATGGGATATAGTGATGCGATTATGTGTGTTATTACTTTATGTGTATATTAGTTTTTTCTGTGTGGAATTTACGTAATTTGTATCGGGATCGATGTCAAATGATTTACTGAACATGCTTTTTGGGGAAGGAATGCTCCGCTTTGCGGTGCCCTTACTTTGATATGTTTCTTTCTAAAAACTGATGGATTGAAGAAAACCAAGAAACGGAAAACGAAGAAAAGACTGGCTGAATTAAGGTCTATCAGCTCAACTCTTTATCATTCCCACCCAGATATATCTATTTCTATAACTCGTTACCTTATTAGTGTCAATGATATTTGAAAAAAAGAGCATTCTAAACACAGTATAAGCACTGTACAAGGATTGATTGATTGATTGTAAATTGTTTAACGTCCCTCTTCAGAATATTTCACTGATATGGAGACGTCACCATTGCCGGTGAAGGGCTGCAAATTTAGGCCTATGCTCGGCACTCAGGGCCTTTTAGCATGGAGGGATCTTTATCGTGCCACACCAGCTGTGACACGGGGCCTCGGTTTATACGGTCTCATCCGAAGGACAGCCCCATTTAGTCGCCTTTTACGACAAGCAAGGGGTACTAAGGCCCTATTCTAACCCGGATCCCCACGGGGTGACTGTACAAGGAAGTCTGTAGTAAATCGAAATTTTGTTCTTTTAAATCTCAAAGTCTATTTATGTTCATTTTCAGGAAAATCAGAATATTAATTACTAGCTGTAAATTCCTTATTTTTCGCGAGTGCTTTTTTTTATCGCGAACTGGCTCTCAAATGTCAAATCGCTAGAATTATAATTCGCGAATGAACGGTTAATGAACAGATTTTACATAGATTTAAGCATCAGAAAAATAAAAGCAAGTAATATTTTTTTCGCGAGTGATGCTTCTTGCGAAATTACGCAGAAATTAATTCCTCGCTTATATTAAGGAATCTACAGTACCTGTCTGCTTTTCGTTGTTAATTTGACACCATATCTGATAATCTCTCTGTTAAACTCCAGGTTTTTAAAAACACAAGTTTTGCCAAAATTATAGAGTTATTTCTCTTTGGTATCCCAAATAAGTAAGGTTTTATGAAAATTCATATAAATATCTATAAATCTTTTTAAAAAGAGATGGGCGGAAGAACAATACTATCGTTCGTAGTTCTTTACGACATTGAATGTTGACCTTTTGACCCCAATTTCAAAAGGGCTCTTTCTAAGGCCACAGGGATTCTGTTATGTTAAATTTCATTGCAAATGTTCAAAGGTTGGCGAGGTATCGTGTGGAAACGAAAGCGTTACAGAAAGACTGATGGACGGACAGCTAGACGGACGGACTGACAGATAGACCCAAATTAATATCTCCCACTTTTCAAGCGGGGGACAAAAAGTATCAAATAGGTTCAAATGATAATTTATCATACCTAAGATTTGTAGGAATATTGACTGAGACATGCAGAATTTTTTTTTTCAAAGTGCGTTAATATAGTCGATATTAACGCACTTTGAAAAAAAAAATATTTTTTCAAAGTGCGTTAACCTGGTCCCAAAATTTAACGCACTTTGAAAAAAATTTTCAAAGTGCGTAATTTTTTCAAAGTGCGTTGCCACATACGTGTGACATCAGCAGCACAGCATCACTTCAGAGGATTACGTAAAGTGCCTGAATGTAATGCAATGGCGTCATATTAAGCATTACCTATCCCTGAACTGCACAGATCATCTAACAAGACCGTTTTCAGTTGACTACGAATTATTGCTAGAGGATTATTCATGCCATTGTTCTGACCCCACAACGCCCCTAATATCGACTTCAAAGATCTCAGATCAATAAAGTATGACCACAGCATCACTGTTAAACATTTTGGTTTAGCTACTAGTCCAGAATGTTTATCCGAAAGCCTCTTATACGTTTAAGCTTTGTAATGAATGTTAGACAGACAACTGCCTCCAGGACGTTAAAAAAGTTGGTGGTGGTAGTGTAATGATATGGAAAACGGTATTATAAGATTGATTCGGTTCGAATTCAATGGACTTTGATGGAAAAAGGTACTCTAACCATGTTCTACCTACATATGCCCATTCAATTTTGCAGCATCCTATAGCTGTATTGCAATCTCACAATGCACACCCATATACGGCTCGTTTGACACTTCAATTCTTAATTGCAAAGCAACAGCAACCTGTTTCTGCCACATTCATCTAAAACACTAGATCCTACTGGAAAAAATAGATTGACATGATTTGTCAAAGACAATCGCATCCCAAGACTCTGCAACAGCTGACCAAAGTTCTACATTTGGAGTGGGAGAGTATTCCTATACAGTTTTATTACACACATTTTCTTCCATTAGATGCCGTTTGTGGCTATCATTTTTAGTAGACAGTATTCCTGTAGCTTACCACATTTCTGTTTTATCAATTCATCATTTTACTAAATAATGTTCAACGTGTCACTGAAATTCTACTATGCGTTTCTTTTTTTCTTCTTTTTTTCCCGAAGAGTTTAATTGATAGAGAAATTCCATTATTTGCACACTGAGGTTTTATTCCTCATTTTTCAATTTGCATACACACATTATGTATTGGTTCATAATCTACATGACTGTGTGTTCAACTATAAGTAAAACCATTGATTCATTTCACCCAAACCTGTCTTACATGTTTTTATTCTACCGCGGAAGGTATGTAGTAATCGGTCTGTCACGCTTTGGGGTATCCATCTCTTATCCGCAATTCCTTTTATACAACTGAGTGAAATTTAATGAAACTTTCACAGAATCTTTATTACATATGCCATTGTGCACCTCCTATTTTACTTTTTGATCTGACACATATTTTGGGTTTCCCGGCCACGGCAAAACATGGACTTTGCCATTATAACCATCTGGGAGGCAGGGGGTGGGTGGATTATCATTTAGTGAGCTCATTGCTCACAATACCTCTAGTTTCTTATGCATCAGCTGGACTATATACATGTATTTCATATTAACACGAGTGAGAAATTAATACACTAAATTGACGTCGAATTTTCCGCTATTTCCCGATCATGACAAGGAGCACACGACGGGTATGGTCGTTTGGTGGAGGATGTTCGTTCCTCTGTGTGACATGATGCCACTTTGGATGTTTTAGAGGTGCCATGACGTCATACTAAAATGGACTTGTGAGTTAAATACTGTTCGTCATCTTCGTGTATGTCACCATCCGGTGCTGCTTACATAATCTGTGTAGACAAAAATTTCACTCTCTGAGGCTGAATCACTCTCAGTTGAAGTGATTTTGTGTTTTGAGACGGTGATCATTATAGCGTTTCTTTACGTATAATTTCTAACATTCTCTTGTCTGCAACCCCTCTTTTACCACTAAATGAAATTTAGATAATTTAATATGAGACTTTCACAGAATCTTTATTTGTTACATATAGTACCATTGTGCACCTTTTATTTTACTTTTTGATCGGACACAAATTTTGGGTCTCCCAGAGCAAAACATATGCACGAACATTTTTTCTATGGTATTGAAGGGTATACCTATCTTTTATCCGCAACTCCTCCGCCACCAATGAATAAAATTTAATGAGACTTTCACAGAATCTTTATTACATAATGTCATTGTGCATCTTCTATTTTACTTTTTTGATCTGACAGTTATTGCGGGTCTTGCAGGGCAAAATATGGCTTTTATAACCATATGAGAGACAGAGGGTATCATTTAGTGAGCTTATGCACACAGTACCTCTAGTTTATAAGGGATGTCCGTCCGTCTGTTACGCTTTCGGGTACCCATCTCTTATCCTCCTATATACCACTGAATACAATTTAATGAGATTTTCACATTCTATTTTATAAATTGTGCCATTGTGCACCACCTATTTTACTTTTTGATCTGATACTTATTTTGGGTTTCTCAGAGCAAAACAGACTTTGCCATTATCATCATTATACCCCCCGCTTGAAAACCGGTAGGGTATATAGTAATCGTTAATTCCGTCCGTCCGTCTGTTACGCTTTGAAGTACCCATCTCTTATTCGCAACTCCTCTCATACCATTGAATGAAATTTGATGAAACTTTCACAGAATCTTTATTACATACTGCCATTGTGCACCTCTTATTTTACTTTTTGATCCGACACATATTTTGGGTTTTCCAGCCCCAGCAAAACATCGACTTTGCCATTATAACTATATGGAGGCGGGGGGTATCATTTAGTGAGCTCATCGCTCACAGTACCTCTAGCTTATAGTGAGCTCAATGCTCACAGTACCTCTTTTTATGCTATACGTAAACACCCAACATATTCATTTCCTGTACATATAAAATGTCCAAAACATATGTGTACAATGTTCCTCAGCTTCCTCTTCTCCCCTCCACACACCTTCTTCCGATAATGTTGATTTAAGGTCTATCTTAACGAAGGACCTATTTCACAAAGATAAGATCTAAATTTGCAGTCCCTTAGTAGGGCGGTCCCGTGTCGCAGATCCCTCACTGCTGTTGAGTAAGTGCATCATTAAGATATATATATTTTTCATTTTTCATTTTAAAAAACTCTTTAGTTATTTTTATACATTTATAAAATCATAGCATATTTTTTTTTTACTTTAAAAAGTCTTTTTTATAATTATTTACAAAGTTTATTGATTATTGTTTAAACAAATTAAAGTTTATTTATTACTTTATGTTATTGTAAATATATAAATGGATTGATTTTGTTAAAAACACGATATTTTTTTCAAATATATTTTTGATGCATCACTTATTCTCATACCTTTACCTATATCACACTCGTTAATTATAGATAAACTTCAAAATATGATTATAGATTTTTTTTCTTCTTTATATGAAGAAAGAAAAAAATTGGATTATAATGCATTTGCATGCTAATTTATAGCTTTGTATGAAAACCAGATTTCAGGGGAAGGTAATTCTGAGATAGTCTAACTTTGAGAAAATAAAACAATGTTAAAAAACTGTCTGGATGTAAGACAAACGTCATTCTTATCTGTTGTAAACTGATGTATAAAGAGAAGAATTTTTTGAAATGTATCATTAAAATATACTGTAATACCGTTTACACCAGAAATTCACTAAAACTGTCGAAATGTTAAAATAATCAAGGACAGGTAACTCTATTACCTGCACAAAAGGTGCCTTTAAAGAATGTAAAGAAATGCGTGTTTGTCAATTAAATATGAGCAAAATATTGAAGAATAAATTATATCGGAAAATAGTAAAACCCTGTTAACCCTCTACTCCCTAATTTATTTATATTGGAAAATATCGTAATTGCATATTTTATTTTCCGGAATTCCGTTATAAAAAGTAGTCCGGTTTTTATGCATATCGTGCAGATACTATTTCCTACATTATTTACATTTCGCCCCTTTTTAGAGACTTTGTCTTTTGGTGTTTACAAGTAATTTCCTTTTTAATTATGTGACAAGAAACCCGTTTCGAAATGGCAGATGAGGAGGGAAGTTTCTATATTGAGCTCTGCAAAAACCCTATAAGATTCGACCCAGTAGATAAAGTTACAAACGTTTTTTATGACGATGCCAACAAACAGGTAACAAACATAAACTTGTTGCTAGCATCACGAATTAGAAACTGAAAAAATGTAGTTCCTTCCTTTCAGATTTGTTTTTGAGGTTTTTACTTTGCACTTTCAAATTTGAGATGAGTCCTTTGTCTATTGTTTTGTGATATACTCCAAATACTCTATACATTACACAATCATAATTATAACTTGTTACATATACCGTGTCATGTTATACTGTACTTACAGGTGTTTACAGTACGCTCTGGTGGAGCTGTTGGAGTGGTGGTTAAAGGACCAAGAGAGAAGGACTGCATTACATTTAGGTTAACTGGATTTTTACAACTAGGGTGTAATTCTTCATAAAACAATATTTCAGTTTTCTGTTGCATTGCTTAACATAAAATTTAAAAAAGAATGTTCATGATTAGAACAAGTATTACTAGGATGATTTTACACCCAGTATAATGGATTTGAATTGGTTATTTTAAAAGCATTTACGTGTTTTATACTTTTTATTTGATTGATTTCCAAAAACAGGTAAACTGCATTTTTTTCTGAATATGGATTGTTTAAAGTTAATTTCTAATAAAAGGTTAAATATTTTGTTTAGAATGGAAAGTAGAGGGGATGTGACCTCTATAAAATTTTCCCCAGACAGACGAATATTGGCAGTACAAAGGTCTCCCAAATCAGTGGTATGTTTGTAAACATGCTTACAGTTACATGAACTGACTTGTCAGTGAAAAGTTCTTTGAAAAAAAAAAGATTCATTGTGTTAAAATTTCAGCACTGTCAAGAACTGTTCATTAAAAGTAAATGAGAGAGAGAGAGAGAGAGAGAGAGATCTTCACATTGTTATTATTGAATCAGTAAAATTCACTTCTTAAGTTGAGAGCTCCTTATTTTTGTATGAAATTTAATCCTACAGAATGGAGCTTTCAGGACAATTTCAGGCAAACATGCAATATGTGTGCTTTTTTTAAATTGATTTTAGGAATTTGTAAATTTTCGTGATGACATGTCAACAGATCAACTGGAATACTCACAGACCTGTAAGGTAATCATTTGTTTCATTTTTTACAAAAGAAAAGTGCTTTAGATTAAAATGGTGTGAAGAGTATGCAATTCTATTGCCCAAGATTTTTAAGGGCAAAGATTGAGTTGTAGATCTGTTGTCTTATTTCAGGGGAAGTCAACAATTATAAGTGGATTTGTGTGGACCTCACCCAATGAAATTGTGTTCATTACTGATCATGGCATAGAATTTTATCAGGTTAGTTGAAAGAGATATGTAAACTGTTGAGCAGATATCAAATGTAAACATGTATACAAATTTCACTTTTTTCAGATGTAAGTGAGAAAGTGTTTATTTAACTATAGGTACACATGTAAATGTTTATTAATGTTTTGTTTCATGACTCTTGTACATAAATTAATATAGTAAAATTAATAGGATTTGTTTTACAATGTAGATAACAGTGGAGAGAAGGACTCTTAAATGTCTGAAAACCATCAACATGAGCGTCTGCTGGTTTGTGTGGCTGGTAATATGTTATTTAATATTTATTTGTTGATGTTAAGATTTCATTATAGCCATTTTAAAACTATATTAGCTTCCTCAAAAAGATGAGATATGTTTTGAGATTTTGCCATAGGAAGTTACACTTAGTATTAAAACTGGTGTTGTTGTCTTCACTGAATAAAAGTTTCTGGCCAAAAACTGTGTTAGGTTACTTGTTGAGCATAAACCCTCCTTACTATTGTAATATTAAACTCTTTAGCAAGCATGCCCAGTTTATAATCATTCTTCAAATACATAACAATTAAAGCATTGGGTTAATATGTGTTATCAACTTTTGAAGTACAGTCAATTCTCGAATTATCGCCATTCGATTCATCGCCATTTTCGCAACTAAATGATTACACAAATCGGCGTGGCTACATCAATTACGCCATGATTTCCCAAGAACGTTTTTCCTGCTATATAAAATTCTCTTTATAACACCAAATTCGCATACCGCCATCCGCCACCCTGTTTTCAAAACAAACGTCCATTTTTAAGTGTCAATTATCTCGATAATACCGCCACAGGTGCGTGTGGGCAGTGAAGCGCGGCTAATTGGTTGACACTATATATCCCTGTTGTAAAGCATGCAAAGGCAGGCAAGGTACATGCAATTAAGAAATTAAACAAGAACTAAATAAACAATAATTTGGACATGAACTGTTATAATAATTTTGTTTTCTGTTTAATAAAATTCATTTAGTCACGGCTTTGCCACGAAAGCGGTCGTTGTTAAAGTACGCCGATAACTATATTATTTAGATGTTCTCTGCTTTAAACAATGCAAGGTTTGCTGAAAAAATAATTATACGGTATAAATTGTGATTATATATTTAATTACAATGTTGCCATAAACAATACATTTATTCAAGAATTCATTTTATTTACTATCGGCAATATATCACGACGATCGACCCAGCATGTTTTTTTTCCGATAGCAGAACTGTAGATTTAAATGCACACCCATATACTTGTCTATTTCATAACTGCACATATTGTTTTAGCGAATTTGTACATTAAAAAGATTACTTGAAGTATATTCAATCAGAAATATGTTTTTATATACATGTAATAATAAGAATAGAAACTCTAAATGGTATTTCTAAGGACGGTAACTCTACTTCTTGTTTTCCAGAAGTTCGGAAATTCAATTCATCGCCAAATTCGTTATACCGCCATGATTTCTAAATTACAAAAGGTGGGTTATTATGTGTTATCAAATTAACTGTAATATATATTAAATACTATAGGTGGAGAGCAGTTGCCTACTTCTAGCCACTGGTTCTCAAGGGAACCAGCTAAACCCATTCTTCTTCAGGGTAAGTGTTAATCATCCTTTATTTTTCACAGCTTTATAAATCTCCTGTGTGTATTAAAACTTCTTTAAATTTTGTAATAATAGAAATCTTAAAGATATAAAACAGATCACCAAAACCCTGATGACGACCGTCTCTGGTCGAAAACAGTGAACCAAATAAATTTACTGCTACATGTAAATTCTCACAAGATATTGGTGATATGTTTTATAATTTTTAGTTTATAACTTCAGATACAGACTCTTTTGAATACCTTTCAGTATTCACAAGTGAGAATCTTCTGCAATTTTCACCTCAAGGTGTTGGTCTCCAGATTTTCTTTGTTTAAATAAAACTTTTCAGATTCTTTGAACCACATTTTTGGATTAATGGCAAATACTATTAGAATTATGACTGGTTTTGATTTTACAGCCTAGCTTAATCACTAAGTTGGCCAAATTTGAAGTGGACTTACCAGCTGCTCAGAAAACAACCAAACAACCTTTGTTAGAAAGAGATGTCAGCATGGCAACTATGTAAGAACAGTTGGGATTCATTTAAATCTTTATTTGTGGTGATTTGATTTGAAATTGTTGATACAATGCCATTATGAGGCAATTTAGGTCAAGAATAAATGAAATCCAGGGAATGTTTTTATTTGTGTGATCTTCAGCCCCATTTCAGACTCTTTGCCAGTAGTAATTTAATGGAGCGGACTTTGTTTAAAAATTATAATGTGGACAATAAATATATGTAAAATGTTCAATACCTAGGACAGATACACATTGTTTTAACAAATAAAGAGGGATTTTTAAGCATGCTTTTCATTAAATTCACATTTTTCTTACTATAGATATATGTATGTAATTGTCCTTTTTTTTTTTACTACAGATATGGTCAGTTGTATGTAATTGTTCTCAGACATCAACCTCGCCCTGGTTCTATTGGAGCTGAAATTGTTTTATATCAAATTCAAAGGTAGACGACAACTCCATAGTCAATCTACTTTAACTGCCATATTTAAAGAAATTTTAAGGTCTATTTCTGAAAATATTTATAACAAGTTCAAAACCCTTTCATTCAAAGTCATTCAAGGACTATTAATTGAAGTTTTCTAATCTCCTATGCTCTCTGCATGTGTATGTATTCTCATTATATGTTCTGTGACTTACAGAGAGGGCGCTGCTCGTAAGACTGATGTTATGAGACTGGATCTCAGTGGGAGATTTGCAATTAATGTCGTCAACAATTTAATTGTTTTACATCATCAAGCCTCTAGGGTGAGGAAAACATTTCTTTGATTTCATAAAATATTTGATTTTTCAAATTACAGCTCTAAATTCTTAAAATTTAAAATTTAGAGACATGAACCAGTACCAGTTAAAAATTTCTATCCTCTGTAGCAAAAGATGTTAACTGATAATATCTGCATTTGTTCAATATTGAATACCCACACCTCACTGAGCCTCATATGTTGCAGACATCTATGATATTTGACATCAATCTGGACGGTGAATCTGATGGATTTGTCAGGTATCATCACGCTGTTGTCTCTCCTCTACCCATCAGACCATTTAGACTTCTTCTACCCTGTAAGTATCAAATGCTGTGAAATTTCTTTATGTGCCATATTGCCATCACTATATATTTTTTTAGTAAAGAGATACAATGTGATTTGATAAATTTTTATGACTAGCTAATTTAATTGCAAACTTCAAACTTTGTTATCTGAAACTTGGCATTTAAGGTAAACTAGGATTTGAGATAAAGTGGGTTTTAAAATATGCTTAAAAAGTGTTTGGGACTTTGCTAAACAACTTTATTAAAATCTTGTTTTGGTCATTTCAGCACTTGGTATTCAAGGAGGGCAAAGTAAAATGGAGTATAATTGTGAACTGTGTATCCTTTGAAAAGCTGTATTTAGGAGACTATATGTCAGTTTGTGTTCAAACTAGTAATCACTCCATCTGTATGTTGTCTGTCTTTCTGACCATAGGTCTAAATTAAGGTTCAAATCAATTATACTTCTTGACCTAAAAACAGATTCAGCAAACTGGGTTGTTTTTCAGCCCAATATAATTATTGATGCCAAGCTGGGTAAGTTCATATACATTGTAGTTTCAGCTTAGAAAAATTCATTCATGATTTAATTGTAAATACAATCACCTATATTTGTACCATATTATTTTAAGGTTTTTGTGCTGTGTTTTTGTACCATTAATGTTTGGCTGCATGATGCTTTTATATCATAGTGAATCAAATTGATGTTTTAAGAGAAACTGAATTATCACAGTTTTTAAAATAATTATTTCAGGCTGTTTATGGTATGTTGAACTGCAGTTAGAGCCCATTGTAACAATGATTCCAGACAAGGTACATTTGCTAATGTATGTTAATCTAACAAAATGAAACCAGCTTTATTTTTCTGAATGAAAAATATTATAGGAAAATGACATAATATAGAGTTAAAAATCTTAAACTATTGGTAGATTATCAATTATTAGCATTGGGTTAGGTTGTAATGTCTGCCAATAAATTTTCTCAGTATCGCCTGGTCAAGTTCCTGCTGGCCCGGACTGATAGTAAGCGGGTCATACTGAGTGTCTGTCGCAGCATGCTGACCCCAGAGAGTCAGGCTTCTCTGTCCACCATATCGAGGGTGCTGGACATGCTGAATAAGGTGTACCAGGGCTATCTGGACTCAGAGATTCATGTACTGGTAAGTAGTTTGACATAAATTCAAATGACAGGTATAGGTATTGCAAATTGAGAGCATAAATTGCAGGAGAAAAAATGCATCATAAAAAAGTTATTTTGGATTTTGAATTAATTTTATGACGATATTTGTCTTTGTTATTATTAAAGCTGAATTAATTTTTGAATTTTATGCTGAATGTATGTCACCAACCTTACCTATCACAAATGTAGAAGTTATTTTTTAAGTCAGACAATTTTTTTGTTGATACAGGCAGGTGAGCAGCCAGCTAGACTAGACCCAGCAATGAAGGTGGTGATTGATCAGTCAGATATGTACACTCATGTCTTCTCCGTGTTTGAGGATAATAAGGTACGATGCCATGCTTCTGTCCACTTCAAAATTCACAACTTTACATCAAGGTGAAGTTTTAATTCAGATAAATGCCACATTAAAGCTCAGGGGTCAAACAATATATAACCGAAAATAAAACATAAATGTCAGCTGTTCAAAGAAATGGAGAAATGCATATAATGTTTATTGGAGTGGTTATTGGAGTGGCAATAATACTTGCAGTTTTTTTTTTCAGAACATGAAGTATAAATTTATGGTAGCTGTGCTTATTGAATACATCCGATCATTGAGTGAGAATAACATCACTGTGCAGGTATTATTGAATACACATTTTTATCAATGACATGCTTAAATTCTTATGTATTAGCTGTAAATTTAATATCATAAATGTTAAACCTGCAATTTCTATTTTCAGCATTACCTATATGAACTGATCATCAACATTTTGGTTCACAATAACTGCTTCTACCAGCTTCATCAGTTTCTACAGTACCATGTACTACAAGACTCTAAACCACTGGTGAGAATATCAACTGAAAATTGCAGACTTGTTTTCTCTAAGTTTTGAAATGATAGGCTTGGTTAAGTGTTATATTTCTCATACATGTATGATATAGTATAGATATTTATTGTATGAACATTTGCAACATTCAAAAAAAGGTAAAAAAAAAAAGTTGATAAAAAGTATACATGTATATCAAAAATACAGTCTGTCATGGCATGGAAGACTGTTAATTTTAAGACCTTGTATATGAATTCAGAATTTGAGATAGAAATTTGACACCAGCTGTATTTTATATTTCCATTGTAGGCCTGCCTCATGCTATCTCTGGAGAGTGTCTACCCTCCCGCTCATCAATTGGCTCTGGACATGTTAAAGGTAAAGTTCATAATATACAGTTATGGAATGGGTACGAGGGAAATAGCAAATTTATGGTTCCCCGAGGGAGGAAACTATTTCCCGAGGCGGCGAAGCCGCAGAGGGAAATAGTTTCCTGCCGAGGGGAACCATAAATTTGCTATTTGTCAAGTTCACATTCCATAACTGTTTTATTATACCGAACAATCGTAGGCGATTTAATTTTTTTTTACCAGATATTCCGACATTTAAAAAAAAAACACTATAGAGGCATAATAACAAATGCATGCTGTTAAACAGATTGTATGATTAATGAATGGTGTCTAAAAACAATTAAATTATTTTTTAAAAGTATTTTCACTCACATTTTGAAGATATAACGTTATCTTCATTTTGCTAGAAATCAGGTATGATTTTGACATCGCATATTGAAATGTTTTGACGTCATAGTTACATTGCTAATAACATGACGTCACAGATTTGAGATTTCTTGAACGCTCCGCCCACTGAACACTTTGATTGGTTAAAATTATTAATAAATATTCATGAGGGAGTAGTCCCAGGGAGTAGCTCTGATTTCCCAGGAAGTAGTCCTCAGATGAGTGAAAAATTCTCTTCCCGGGGAAATAGGCAGTTTTATGGTATTACTTTTATATAGAGTAATTACAGTAGAGGTATAATAAAAACAAATAGAATTCTTATCTTGGAGGGAAAGTATATTAAAAAGAAATGTTATTGTAGTACAATATACATGTATAAATTTGTTGATAAAATTATACTTTGTCAAAAATAATATCTAGGGGGGACCACTTTTCTGGATTTGGTGGGTCTCATCCTTACCAAAAAATTTAAATCCACACAAACTGTTACATAGTCAACATATCAGATTATTACATAACCTACTATATAAATTGTAATTAGGCATTTTGAACTGTTTCACGATTCATTTTATGCTTTTGCGTGATCATGAAACAATGAACTGTTGACCGGGCCACAGAATGAACTGTTGCCTGTTTAAAGCGTCATCGTGATATTCAAGCGTTTTGATGATCACGACATCACTATTTACCTGCTCTATATTTAATCAAATTTAAATAAAAACACAAACAATAAATTTATTAAGTATTACTTTAAATTAAAAATATTAATTTAATCTTTATATTATGTGTTCAGCTAATTAATAGATAAGTATGTGAATAAACAGTTGTGAAAACTTTATATTGATTGTTTGTGTGTTTTTATTCCAATTTACTTAATTATATAGTAGGTTAGGTAATAAAACACTTATTCAATGACTACTCGGTGAAACAGTCAAACTGTTGTCCCTCGGTAGTGGGGGAGACCTGGGAAACTGTTGCCCTCGGCCTTCGGCCTCGGGCAACAGTTTCCCAGGTCTCCCCCACTACCTCAGGACAACATTTGGACTGTTTACCTCGTAGTCATTAAATAAGTGTATATTGTTGAATCTTCTGTATAAAATGAGTTTTTTCATGAAATTATGTCATGTACCAACAAACCTGTACAATATTTACTGCCCATTAGAAATAAAATGGTTCCACAATCTGCTGCTTTTATATGAAATTGTTACTTAGATGTGTTTTTTACTTCTTTTTACTTTTGACAGAGGCTGTCTACGGCAAATGAAGAAATCATTGAGGTGCTCTTATCAAAACAACAGCTTTTACCAGCTTTGAGGTAAATTTTAGAGATTTTTTACTTATGCAGAAAATTAAATACCCCAGTGTAAAACATTGGTCGTGAAGTACATGTATTAAACATGGGATAAAAAGAATCTTGAAATAAAAATCTTAAAAAATTGATTTTATGACTCGCCTCTTTTATTTGTAGATTCATTAGAAGTGTGAACATTGTGGATTCTGTATCCTCCAGAAAGTTTTTAGAAGCTGCCATGAATACCGATGATGCCATGTTATTTTACACTGTGTTTAAATTTTTTGAACAAAGAAATATGAAAATTCGAGGAAATCCAAAATTTCAGTCTGGTAAGTTAACATTTGAAGTGCAATATTACTTTGTAAGGAAGATTTACTGTCTTAAGAAGTAAAATTAGCATATATACCTACATGTATACAAATACTTTGTTTTGAATTTCAACTGAATATCTCAGTCTATACATTAAGTAAGGTTCCATATTGTAAAAAAAAAAATTATTACAAGTTATTTCCCTTCTAAACAGAATGTATGGCAAGTATAAACTATGGTGTATCAGATCATTCTTTATTGTTGTAGGGGAACATTGTGAAATGTATGTGAAACATTTTGAGAGCTTGTTTGGAACTGATGCCTTGGCAGAAATGCCCCCTGCTAGCTGAGATGAATACTCCTTTTCAATACATCCACATGAAAAATGACCAATACAAATCTATCACTTAAAGTATTCAGCTGTAAAATCTGACTGTCTGTAAAGTTCCTATGATAGGAATTTTTTAATAAATTTGTAATTTTATACATTTTTATGTAGGATTTTTAAATTTAAAATATTTAACATTGAATGGATGTAATGAAATAAATGCCATATTATGAAATAATGATGATTAATATTGTACATATATGTATATTTATTTATGACATATTTATTGTAGATTCCTTGTAATAAATAAATATGTATACATGTTACTTTTCCTTCCTGACATAAATCAAGAAAAAAATATGTAAATGAGTATCAATTTTTTAATTGTAAACAATAAACTGTATAAAACAATATTCGTCAATTCATTCATTGCTCGTGTGTACAGACATTTATACAGCTCACAGAATTCAGTTCATAACAGCAGACTTCCACATGTAAAACTCAGTAAAATAAAGTAATACTATACATTAATTGCAATCTAATTAAAATTAGATGTTAGATCCACTCCATACTTGTTACACTAACATCTAACATCCCACAGAGGGTCACGGCAGAGGACAAAATCTATCAACCAATCAAACTGTTCCCTGCAAAATCATCATTTATTTATTAAGGGAATAAGTCTAGAGTTGTTCCGAATTTTACCTCTAACATGACCCTCAATGGGATGTTGTTAGATGCAAGTGTAGCGAGTTTGCGAGCGGATCTAACATGTAATTTTAATTTATAGATTACATTAATTGGCACCAAACAAATTATAAAGAGACTACCAGTAGAAAGAGTTAGTTAGGAAGTTAGCTGCCGAGCTGAGCCAGCCAGATTTTTTCTCATCCTTCTTGTTCCTGGCCAAGGAGCGACTGTCTGCCTTGGGGCTGTCAGGATCCTCAGGGAGGTAATCGGGGAGGGATGTGTTCTCTTTGTCCAGATCCTGGGGGTTGGCACCAAAAGATACCAAAACCTAAAGTGAATAACAATATAGGTCATTTTTGAAAGGAACGCTGTGAATGTTATAATGATGCCTGTGGGAAAAAAAATGAAATGCAATGTACAGTGAACTTCGGTATATTGAACACCGATATCTCGAATACCGCGACTATGGATATGTCAACATGAATTGAGAGTCCCAACCACAAATATTTTATCCTAAATACTTTAAAGGTCAAATATAATATATATGTGAAAATTCATAATTATTCATTATTATCAGCCTCTGGAATAATATAAATAACATTCTGAGGTCTGTTTAATTTTTTGTCACCAATTTCCATCACTAAATGTCGTTTAAACTTACCTGAGTGACAAGTGGATCATTTATTGTAAATCGCTTATCTCCCTTGTTGCATGACGTCATTAGAGACAATGTGAAATAGGAAGTGCATACTATATTGACGGGTTTGGAAAATTATTGTTCTCTAGATGCTGTCATGTGCGCTTTTTAACTTTAATAATAATTCGGGACAAGATATGAGTGTATTTATTTTATTGTTTACGAACCTGAAATTGAGGAGAATACTAGTATTCATATTAAATTGAGAGTCTAAGAGAAATGGTTTTGAGCCCAATACACATGCAAAGCTATAAATATGACCAATATTTTTACATAGATCAGTTTACAGGCAAAACGATGCTACGTGGCTGGTTTAGCCTACAGTTTAATTAAATAGAAAATGTCTGACGGATTTCTTGGGTTTATTTCAAAATTTAAGTCGTATTTTAGTTTCTCAGTTTAGGTTTTAAAGCCCCAATACTGTTTGAACCACATGGGAGGGGGTGCAGAGGGGACCTCCCCATTTTTTCACAAACATTACGCTTACTAGAGTTTCGAGTTTGGGCAATCCCCCCCCTTTTGTTGCTTGTCAACTTTTAAAACTTTTCTCTGAATATTTATTTCGCTCAGATTAAGACATTGATAAACTTAATGTATGGTACAATTTCGGGCAATTAATCTCGCTGTCCCCCTTTCAAAAACGATGCTACGTGGCTGGTTTAGCCTACAGTTTAATTAAATAGAAAATGTCTGACGGATTTCTTGGGTTTATTTCAAAATTTAAGTCGTATTTTAGTTTCTCAGTTTAGGTTTTAAAGCCCCAATACTGTTTGAAGGGAAAGATTTTAAAATTTTTATTTTAATTATTTTAGTTACAGTACTGTACTAGACAAGATGACAGGCACCTGAGATTTTGCCCTCTCTCTCCTATTGAAAATTTAACTAAGACAATATACATGAATTCCTCGTCTACATACCAATACCATAAATAATTTGATATTTTCCATTTTTGTCAAGTTACAGAAATTGTCCCTTTACAGTATGTGCTCGGTATATTTACATACATGTATTACGCGGCGCCAAGTCAAAAGAACATGTATCTTGCTGTAAACTACCCATAGCATGCTGTCAAAGCCATAAAAAGTACTTGTAGTTTTCATAAACTGTAAATGAACAATTTCTAAAACTTGACAGAAAACGGAAGATGAAAATCAAATATCGATTTATTGAGTCTATTTATTTATTTTTCACTCATATGAAGACGCCATCATTTGCCGGCGGAAAGCTGAAAATTTTGTCATATGCTCGGCACTTAGGGCCATTGAGCAAGGAGAGATCTTTTTCGTGCCAGCACCTACAGCGACACGGGACCTCGGTTTATACGGTCTCATTCGAAGGACCGTTTCAAATATCAAAGTATTGGTATGATAGACACGGAAATTATTATTTGAAATGATAGACAAGGAAATAACTATCGTGTCCAAAAATATCTCGGTGGGGCTGGTGGATGTACATCAACCATTTTTCAGGTGCCTGCGCACAAGACGGAAGGTTACCGAGGCGGTGATATACCCATCCGAGAAATCTGCGATAAAAGAGATGTACAATGAATTTACGTAGAGTAGAAAATGATAGAGAAAAAAACTATCTGTATATGTTTTTACCATGTACATAAATGTTATATTCTTTAAACAAACTAAATAAATGTTAAGCATATGGTGAGCAAGGGAAGCAGACTGAATATGAAAAAAAAGGGGGCGGGGTAATAGACAAGCCAAAAAGATTCTTGATTAAAAATGTGACCCCCCCCCAAAAAAAATAAAATGGAAGGGGGTAGTCTTTTTCTTACATATAAGAAATACTAGTATTTAGTATACTAATAATGAGATGCAGGAAAATGACCTTACTGTGACAACACGGGAAAGGGGTTGTTACTAACCTTTCATGAAAATTTCCTTTTTAAATTAAAATTTAAAAAAATATTTATATGAAAAAGTCAGGGAGCACCCCCCTCACCTATAGTTCGTGCCTTTAAGGCAATTTTCCTCGGATAATATACTTGTACAGAGTTGGTGATTTCATTTCTTGTCAGGTTACATAAATGTTAAGTATAATGTCCGTCTCAGATAATATTTTCTCAAGAATGTGTTTATTTACTTCCATGCAGTTGCACTTTTTTCTATTATAATATTTCCAAAAAATAAAACTTCAGTGTTCATGCACACAAGTGATTGTTCCTCCATATTTTACTGTCCACTTCATTTTTTTTCTGCAGTATTTTTCTCTTTGACCGGCGTCTTGACATAGTTACCAAAAGAGCATATAAACTAAATTAGGATGAAGAAATTCATATTAAAATATTTTTTTAAAAATAAAAGTGCCTTATGACAAAGATTTTATGCAAAGCATGCCTGTAGGAAGCAATTTCCATTTGGGGGCAAAACAAAGAAATGTCATTTCGGGAGGATCGAGAGGGGCGGACAAATAAAAATTCCTTGTTATGCATTAAGATTCCAAACATACATATAGTTATCATGGGTGCTTGGGGACGGGGGAAATTCATACCCTCTGATACTGAAACGGGATGTTCTGTTTTATTATCAGAGTGTATGAATATTTATAGATGTAAAAGGCTAGGTTAAGCTTAAATTTTGGATTGATCATTTGTAATCCTTTTTGATATGTCATAGAAAAATATTTAATTCTTAAAATGTCAAAGAATCCTTGGGGTACGAAACACCCAGGGTGGGTGGTTTGGGCCCCCCCCCCCCTTCAAAAAAAAGCACCAGTGTGATAGCAAGATCTTCGGATTCCCACGGATGATAAATTTATATCCGATGATGCAGTAAATTTTATTGATCTGTTCATTGTTTACCAAAGTATAATTTACATTAACAAATCTGGTGTACATGTATCCCCTGTTCAAACAGCCATGAAATGTAAAGAAAAGAATTCTATAATTTTTCACGAGTGAAAGTCTTGGTCCCATCTATGTATGATGAATAAGGAACAATACATAAATCATTTTTTTGTAAACATCTCTGCGGTAATATTAAGTGATTGAGTAAAATCGATTAAATATCAGTTTTGTACATTCTCTAGGTTCTGCAATGATACTTCATTACTTGGTCAGAACTTCGTATGATTTTCATTTCCACTTTCACCCTTACCGGCTTTTCCTTGATTGGCTCAAACATACAAAGCCTAGCTATTCTTAATTGAAAGATCTACACGTAACCCTGGTATATCAACATTTATGTTCCCTAAAATTTACCATTCTTTTAGATAATCAAGAGTAGTTATATACTATACTTATATAACTAGATTCCGTCGAGTGTCTCGAATGACGTCACAAAAACGGGAAGTAACTCTATTAATGAACTTTATTTTTAGTGATATTTAAACAGGTAAATACAGAAAACATCGAGGTTTAAAATTAAACGAATATTGTAATTCCCTCTTTTTAACTTTTATTTACAACATAAATCAGTTACAAGCATATCTATTTCCTTTGAATTTGACCTTTAAAGTATTTTACACTCAATATATTACAAGCTCTCAGATACATGTATCTCAAAATTTTTTTAATTGACCCCATTGAGTTCAAGATAATGAAGTTTGATTTTGTCTTAATAAGTTCATATAACTTTAATACTCTTGAAAAACAATTTGTTTGTGAAAAAATAAAGATTTTTGAAAGCAACCAACCTCAGCTCCATATTCATCTTTCACAACCTGTTGGGCTGTCATTGTCATGGATTTTGCAACAGCTTGTACAATTGGCTGAAAGAATTTAGATAGAAAATGTTTATAAGCAATATTGCATTGCATTTCTTTTCAAACTGTCATAACAACTGGCTTCATGAAAATTTTATTAATTCAACAAAGTTTCTTATTCATTTTATCTTTGTGACTCAAATATAC